GGACAAACAGCTGCAGTGTAACACAAAGGCAAGGCTGACAGTAATTGATAGGCTGAGAGGGCAGGAAGATGAGGACAAGTCAGAATCGGAGATATGCTTTGGCATAGAAGAATAGCAATGATGAGGAATCATGGGAAGGAAAAGCAAGGCACCCTCAGACTAATAGAATAAATATCCCAAAGAAGGAGGACTGCAGAAACAGAAAAAGAGGGGATAAAAGGAATGAAAACTAAGATGGCCAGATATCATAAAAATAAGCATGTAAATTGGGTGCCTGTGGCTCATGCCTGTAATCTGAGCTACCCAGGAATCTGAGATCTAAGGATCAGAAGGTTTGAAGACAGCCCAGGCAGAAAAGTCTTTGACTCTTATCTCCAATTAACCATCAGAAAACAGGAAGTGGTGCTGCGCTGTGACTCAAAGACATAGATGCTAGCCTTGAATGCAATAGCTCAGGGACAGCACCCAGGACTGAATTCAAGCCCCATGACCACCACCACCACCACCAACAATAACAAGATCAACAACAACAAAAACACAAAAGGCACAAAGGGAGAAAGTAACTAGGAAAGGTGAAACTGAGATAAACACGGGCAGAAAATAAGAGCAGAAGGTTTAAACATAATAAAACTAAAATGATAAACCACAGATAAAAGACTTGAAATTGGAAACACTAAAGTTAAGTGTTCTTTTTTTTTTTTTGAGACAAGGTTTTGTGTTCTCAAGGCTGTCCTCAAATTCCTGGGCTCAAGCATTCTTCCTGCTTCAGTCTCTCGAATAGTTGAGACTAAAAGTGTGCACCGCCGGGTGCTGGTGGCTCATGCCTGTAATCCTAGCTACTCAGGAGGCTGAGATCTGAGGATCTTGGTTCAAAGCCAGCCCGGGCAGGAGATACCGTGAGACTCCTATCTCCAATAAACCACCAGAAAACTGGAAGTGGTGCTGTAGCTGAAGTTGTAGAGTGCTCGCCTTGAGCTGAAGAGCTGAGGGACAGCGCCCAGGCCCAGAGTTCAAGCCCCACGGCCGACCAAAAAAAAAAAAAAAGTATGCACCAATGTATCTGGCCAAAGTAGTGTCCGGGTCAGTTTGTCCTTAATAGAAATGCCTCTCCTTCCCGCCCCGATCTCTCTCTCTGTTAGATTGGGTCTTTTTTTTTGCCAGTCATGGTGCCTGGACTCTGGGCCTGGGCACTGTCCCTCAGCTCTCCAGCTCAAGGCTAGTCCTCTACCACTTGAGCCACAGCACCACTTCCAGCTTTTTCTGTTTATGTGGTGCTGAGGAATCAAACCCAGGGCCTCATGCATGCAAGGCAAGCACTCTACCACTGAGCCACCTTCCCGGCCTGGATTGGGTCTTAAACTCAGGGCCTCTCACTTTTGCTTAGCTTCCCTTCCCCAAAGCTGATATTCTACCACTTGAGCCACACCTCTACTTCCAATTTTTTTTTTCTGGCTTTGAACTGTGATCCTCAGATCTCAGCCTCCTGAGTAGCTAGGATTACAGGTGTGAGCCACTGGCGCTCAGCTTAGAAGTGTCTTCTAATAAAGTACATCATTTTACCATCATAAATGAATGTGTTGGCTAAATGTCTCCCTAAAGAAGAAATGTGACAATCCATGTAAGAAATCTATTCCTCATGAATATGTTGAGGTCATACAGCTTTTCTTTTACCATTGATATAAATTCACAGTTCAAGTGCATACCCCTCTTAGTAGTACTTGATCTATGGGGGTTGCCCAAGAACTTGACTATTAAGGAAATATGGCTGTTTTGTAGATAAGCAGGTAAAACACATACAGGAAGAATGAAATTAGCCACTAGTGGACACAGGATGTAAATAGATACCTGAAGAATTGGGGATCACACACAAATTTCTATCATTGTGACCCAGTGAAACTTTTAGAAAGCAGGACTAGATCATGATTATGATTAAATAGCAATAGAATCAACTGATGTGTAGTCCAGATAAAGATAATGTGAATCAGTTGGGACCCCAGAAAAGAGATGCTCAGGTATGTAGAGGTGGAGCTGGAGTATACCCACAATGGCACCCATAGAATACGTGATTAACATGTATAAGGCCCTGGGTTTGGTCCCCAGCACCAACAAAAGAAAAAAAAAGCAGAGGTTAGCAGATGCTACTTGGGTAGGAGACTGGTTACCAAAGCAGATCTTACCATGGTCCAGTGAAGTGGTCCTCAATACTAACTCATGCCTGCCACGCTTCTTGCTGGTGGTCTGTCTTCAAGCACAAGTAAAGTACTTTCCTGGATTGGGAACATTAAGATTTTATCGTTTGGAGCCGGGCGCTGGTGGCTCACGCCTGTAATCCTAGCTACTCAGGAGGCTGAGATCTGAGGATCGCGGTTCAAAGCCAGCCCGGGCATGTAAGACCGTGAGACTCCTATCTCCAATAAAACCACCAGAAAACCGGAAGTGGCGCTGTAGCTCAAGTGGTAGAGCGCTGGCCTTGAGCTGAAGAGCTGAGGGACAGTGCCCAGGACCAAAGTTCAGGCCCTATGACTGGCAAAAAAAAAAAAAGACTCACGGACTTTCCTGCCTGGGCTGGCTTTGAACTGCAATCCTCAGGTCTCAGCCTCCTGAATAGCTCGGATTATAGGCGTGAGCCACCAGTGCCCTGCTACTCTTTGTTTTTTTTTTTATTGAAACTCTTTTTTGTTTATTTTGATGGGATAAGCAATTACAAATATATGAGAAAAGTCCTTAATAAGAAATACGTAAAGCTGGATATTGGTGGTTCATGCCTGTAATCCTAGCTACTCAGGAGATTGAGTTCTTGAGGCTTGTGGTTCAAAACCATCCTGGGCAGAAAAGTCCATGAGACTCTATGGTTCAAGTGGTAGAGTTCCAGCCAAAGTGAGAGTGTGAAGGCCTGAACACCAGAAACTTTAGACAGAATCTAGACTAACAGGGCCCTAGGTCCTTTTAGAGTGATGAGTGCTAATGGATATACGACTTCTTTCTTTTTAATCCTTCCTTCTTTCCTTTTTCTTTCTTTCCTTCTTTCTTTTAAGTAGGATACAATTCCAAATCAGGTTATTAGTACAATGTATATTGCTCAATGTCTTCATTATTTCTCCCTAATTTTCTCCCTCCCATACAAGGTGTCTTTTATGTTTGAAGAGAATGGTATGAAACTAAATAGTTGTAATATACCTAGACAAATATGCTAAAACTAGTTAAGTTGTACACTTCAAACATGTGAACAAATTGTTCAGAAATCCTACAAATAGCCAGGTGCTAGAGGCTCACACCTATAATTCTAGCTGAGATCTGAGGATCATAATTCAAAGCTAGCCAGGTAGGAAAGTCTATGAGATTCTTTTTTTTTTTGGGGGGGGGGTCTGGTCCTGGCCTGAACTCTGGGCCTGGGCGCTGTCCCTGAGCTCTTCAGCTCAAGGCTAGTGCTCTACCACTTGAGCCACAGCGCCACTTCTCTGGCTTTTTCTGCTAATGTGGTACTGAGGAATCGAACCCAGGGCCTCATGCATGCAAGGCAAGCATTCTACCACTGAGCCAACTTCCCAGCCCCTGTTCCTTTTTTGTTGTTGTTGTTGGTCTTGGGGCTTGAACTCAGCCTGGGCTCAGGGCGAGCACTCTACCACTTGAGCCACAGCCCCACTTCAGGTTTTCTGGTCTCATGGACTTGCCTTGCCCAGGCTGGCTTTGAACCTCATTCCTCAGATCTCAGTCTCCTGAGTAATTAGGATTACAGGCATGAGCCACTGGCACAGGTGTTTATTCCTTTTTCTAAATCTCCATATCCACCCTTCCTTACTCATTTTGCAGTGCTGGGGATGGGATCAGAGCCTTCTGCATGCTGCACAACCAAGTACTCTATTATTGAGCTACATTCGAGTACTGCTTCTCTCTGTATTTTTTTCCCTAAGCTCTTACTTGTAGGTCTATTTCAAATCTAATTTAAAAAATCATTTTGTTTTCGGTGATACTGGGGTTTGTACTTAGGGCCTTGTGCTTCTTTGGCTGGGGCTCTTTAAAAAATCATTTTGTTTTCAGTGGTACTGGGGTTTGTACTTAGGGCCTTGCGCTTCTTTGGCTGGGGCTTTTAGCAATTGATCCATGCCTCCAATCCACTGGTTATTTTGGAGATGCCAGACTTTTCTGTCTGGGCTGACTTCCAACTGTGATCCTCAAGATCTCAGCTTCCTGAGTACCTGAGCCAAGGGAATTGGGCAATTCCCAAAAATTGAGTCAAATTTTGTGTACAGTGGGAGATATCATTGCTAAATAGAGGGAAGAGAAAGACACCACCAATGAAGTTCCTCAAAGTACCTTTATTTTCCTAGGCTTTCTGAGAAACTCCTCTCTGGTTTCTGAGGCAGAATTTTTTTTTCACATTTATTTTTGGCAGCACTGGAAAACAAAATCTAGGCCCTTGTATATACTAGGCAAGAACTCTACTACTGAGCTTCATCCCCCCAGGCAAGGTTAAATGCCTTGTTTGCGAACTGTCACCACTCCGTGTCAGAAGCCTGCATTTTGGCCTATTATCCTACTGCCTTATGAGTTTCATCAGGCTGTCTTTTTTCCAACTGTACTATCAATCGTTGGTATATAACGGGAATATAACGGGAACGGAAAATGGCAACGGAATGAGTGAATGCATGAACAAAGGGTTGATTGAATTGGAGCTAGTAAGGCATGTCAAGTCTGCATTTATGAGAAGAGACGGGACAGTGTATAATTTTGACAAATTTATTGAAATTCTGATAGCTCCCCTGTCTAGGAGCAATGTTGAAAGCCAATTGGGTCTACAGGAGGCCTCAGAAGGAACCTAGGAAACGCGGGAGGAGGAGCTTGATTCCGACCACACCCCCTTGCGTTCAAATCCTTTCCGCTTATGGACCCGCCCCTTCCGGAGAGGTACCCAGTCCTAATTGGTCTTCTCATTCATCCATCTGAACTCCGATTGCGCATTTCCTGGTGTGGGGAACGCGGGGCGGACGTAGGCTGCCGCCATTGCGCTACCGGGATAGCGGCTGTCTGTGGTAGGGGCTGCATTGTGGGTGGGTTTCAAGGCTGGGCTTCAGGAGGCTTAATGGGGTCCGCTTGAGCGGTCAGAGGGTCTGTGTCAGGTCGGGCTGGATGCACTCTTAGCGAGGTGGGATTCAAGCCAGGGGTTTCTGGACGTGTATCATCTTTGAGCCTTTTGTGGGCCTGGGCCTTGCTGGTTAATTTTTTTTCTCCCGCCGCTCTCTAGATTCTCCGGGCATGGCCGGAGTATTTCCCTACCGAGGGCCGGGTAACCCGGTGCCCGGCCCTCTAGCCCCGCTGCCGGACTACATGTCGGAGGAGAAGCTGCAGGAAAAAGGTGAGGAGGGGGGAGTGGGAGCGGCGCGCGCGGCCCAGCTACGCGACGGGCATGCGCATGCGCGCCAGCAGGTTTCGGCCCAAAGTTCTGTTTTGACGGATTATTAGGTGTCAGCTCACAATTTAGCTCATTTTACTAGTCAAGTCATTTAAAGTTTTTGTTTGCAGCTAGTGATCCACTGTGTTGGTGGTGGGGTTGTATAGCAATAGAGATAATTCCTGCAGTCATAGGGTTTAAATTGCAATGAGGAGGTTATACGAAACCCCTCAACATCAGTTAGTGATAAAGGCAATGAGAGTTAAAGTAGAATAGTAAGATGGCAAGATATGTCCCGACAGGAGCTTACCCGAGGGCGGGAAACGAGTATAATTAGCTTAAAGGTGTGCAGTCCTTTAAACTGAGGTACCTTTGTAGCCCGAAAATGGCAGCAGTTGCAGGCCAAACGATATGCAGAAAAGCGCAAGTTTGGATTTGTGGATGCTCAGAAGGAAGACATGCCCCCAGAACATGTAAGGAAGATTATTCGAGATCACGGAGACATGACCAACCGGAAGTTTCGTCATGACAAAAGAGTCTATTTAGGGTAAGCATTATCCTGGAATAATTTAATCTGGAGTTTTGCATGTACCTTTGCCTGTCCTAGCATTTTCAGTCTTGGATAGATCTTCTGCCATCTGCCATCTAGCAGATGTGTGTTTGTGTGTGTGTGTGAGAGAGAGAGAGAGAGAGAGAAAGAGAGAGAGGGGAGGGAGAGTATCTATGCTGATAGTGAGGCATACAGTTTGTTCCTTAGCTTTTTGATTTAAGACTAGCACTCTTCCACTTGACCCCCACCTCTGCTTCCAGTTTTTTTGGTGGTTAATTGGAGATACAAGTCTTATGGATTTCCTTGTTGGGGCTGGCTTCAAACTATGATACTTAGATCTCAGCATTCTGTGTAGCTGGGATTACAGATGTGAGCAATTGGCACTGGTTCCATCTTGGCGATTATAAGAGTAAGAAGGGAACTGTTGAGACTTAGTGATTATTTTCAGAACTTTCAGTTAAACAGTTTATTGCTTTGTTTTGTTCTGTGGATGCTGCTATAAACCCCTATATAGTTGGACTGTGTGGGATGGGAAGGTGGCTCAGTGGTAGAGTGCTTGCCTTGCATGCATGAGGCCCTGCGTTCGATTCCTCAGCACCATACAAACAGAAAAAGCCAGAAGTGGCGCTGTGGCTCAAATGGTAGAGCACTATCCTTGAGCTGAAGAGCTGAGGGACAGCACCCAGGCTCAGAGCTCAAGCCCCATGACCAACAATCAATCAATCAATAAATAATTGAACTATGCGAAGCCCAAAGTAGACAGTGTATACAGTCTGGAAATCTTTAACTTCTCAGTGATGAGAATTCTGAGATTTAGGATATTTAACTCCTAAGGTCTGGGTACTTTTTCTTTTTTTTTTGTGACCCTAAGCTGTGTGAGCACGCAAGATTTCTTCACAAATCTCTGTTCTTGTGAACACAAAAATATTAGCCCATTAATGACCAGGTTTAGGACAGCCATGGAGTTTATTTCATAAGTAGTTTTGAAATAAACAGTATACTTGTGATATGGTGATGCATGCCTACAATCCCATGGTCCCCAAGACTTGGGAAGCTGAAGCAGGAGGATTGAATTTGAGATCATCCTGGGCTTCATAAGTTAGACCTATGTCAAAACAAAAAAATCAAGCTTATGCTAACTACTAAGCAGGCAGTAGTAATGATCTCCACTTTTCAGTAGTATAGAATCCAGTGACATGATAGATATGAGACAAATGGATACAAAAAAGTGTGGGAAATATTTTACCATTATTTACAGGAAGGTGTAGAGGGAGTAGATTGTGAGATTATCTAGATGTCTTCAGAGGAAGAGCTGTCATGTTAGTCTAATATTGTGGGGGGGTGAAGTTTTAGTAGAAGAGTGACACAAGATGGAGGTATTGATAAGTCAAGGTTTCTAGTCATAGAGAACCTGACTTCATGCTGAGTTGGGGGTTTTGGACTATGAGTTAGGACTTTATGGAACATGGTATTGTGATAAACACATGGCTTGTTAGCATGGGAATAATAGCAGAAGCCCTTGACATTTCTAATAACCTTCTCTCTTCTTAATGTAATAGTGCCCTAAAGTACATGCCTCATGCTGTCCTCAAACTCCTGGAAAACATGCCTATGCCATGGGAACAGATTCGGGATGTGCCTGTGCTGTACCACATCACTGGAGCCATTTCCTTCGTCAATGAGATTCCTTGGGTCATTGAACCAGTCTACATCTCCCAGTGGGGGTGAGAAGGGCTAGAATATGGCATGTGATGGTGGTAGTGGTAGTCGAGGGTCAGTTGGTAGAAACTGTTATATGATATTCTTGCCATCTAGGTCAATGTGGATTATGATGCGTCGAGAAAAAAGAGACAGGAGGCATTTCAAAAGGATGCGTTTCCCTCCTTTTGATGATGAGGAACCACCCCTGGATTATGCTGACAACATCCTAGATGTTGAGCCACTGGAAGCCATTCAGCTTGAGCTGGACCCTGAGGAGGATGCTCCTGTATTGGACTGGTTCTATGACCACCAGCCCTTGAGAGACAGCAGGAAGTGAGTAATGGGTAGACTTGTCACTCCTGTGAGAGTTCTGGAAATAAGAAAGGGGACCTGGAAGAGCAGTAGGGTTATATGGTTTGGCTAGCTAGCCACTTGATATGAGGCCTCTTTTTTTCTCTAGGTATGTTAATGGCTCCACTTACCAGCGTTGGCAGTTCACACTGCCTATGATGTCTACTCTCTACCGCCTGGCTAATCAGCTTCTAACAGACTTGGTGGATGACAACTACTTCTATCTGTTTGATCTGAAGGCCTTCTTTACTTCTAAGGCACTCAATATGGCCATTCCTGGAGGACCAAAATTTGAACCTCTTGTTCGAGACATCAATTTACAGTAAGTTGGAGAGATTGAGACTCTTTGAGTGGAGTAAAGTCTGATCTTGATCTTTAAGATTTTTCCAAACTAGTCTACTCATCCTTGATTTGTATTCTAGGGATGAAGACTGGAATGAATTCAATGATATTAATAAGATAATAATTCGGCAGCCTATTCGAACTGAATACAAGATTGCTTTTCCTTACCTATACAACAACCTTCCACACCATGTCCATCTTACCTGGTGAGATAATGGGAACACAGCAGTTAGAAAGGAAAATGCTGGTATTTAGATTGAGGCCAGGGCAGAAGAATTTTGACTAACTCTTTCATTTTTAGGTATCACACTCCTAATGTTGTGTTCATCAAGACTGAGGATCCTGATTTGCCAGCTTTCTACTTTGATCCTTTGATCAATCCAATCTCTCACAGGCACTCGGTCAAGGTAAGGGGAAATGACACTTTTTCAGTATGTGAGCTTAAGGATCAAATCCAGAGCCTTGTGTATGCTTAAGCAGTCTTTTTTTTTTTTTTTTTGGGTTGGTCATGGGGGCTGAACTCTGGGCCTAGGCGCTGTCTCTCAGCTCTTCAGCTCAAGGCTAGCACCCTACCACTTGATCCACAGCGCCATTTCTGGTTTTTTCTGCTTATGTAGTGCTGAGGAATCCAACCCAGGGCTTAATGCATGTGGGGCAAGCACTGTACCACTGAGCCACCTTCCCAGCCCCCTGCTTATGCAGTCTTTTTTTTTTTTT